TCTTTCAAATGTCTGCCTTATCAACTTTCGATGGTAGTTTCTGCGACTACCATGGTTGTCACGGGTAACGGGGAATCAGGGTTCGATTCCGGAGAGGGAGCCTGAGAAACGGCTACCACATCCAAGGAAGGCAGCAGGCGCGCAAATTACCCACTCCCGGCACGGGGAGGTAGTGACGAAAAATAACGATACGGGACTCTTACGAGGCCTCGTAATCGGAATGAGTACACTTTAAATATTTTAACGAGGAACAATTGGAGGGCAAGTCTGGTGCCAGCAGCCGCGGTAACTCCAGCTCCAATAGCGTATACTAAAATTGTTGCGGTTAAAAAGCTCGTAGTTGCATTTGTGCGCCGCGCTGTTGGTGCACCGCATCCGCGGTGATACTGACACGTCTGCGGAGCATATCGTCGGTGAGCCGTCGGTAAAACGGCGGTTCAATATCAAAATCCTATCGCGGTGCTCTTCGGTGAGTGTCGAGATGGGCCGACAATTTTACTTTGAACAAATTAGAGTGCTCAAAGCGGGCTCAAAATGCTGCTTGAATATTTCGTGCATGGAATAATAGAATATGATCTCGGTTCTATTTTGTTGGTTTTCAGAACTCCGAGGTAATGATTAATAGGGATAACTGGGGGCATTCGTATTGCGACGTTAGAGGTGAAATTCTTGGATCGTCGCAAGACGAACATCAGCGAAAGCATTTGCCAAAGGTGTTTTCATCAATCAAGAACGAAAGTTAGAGGTTCGAAGGCGATTAGATACCGCCCTAGTTCTAACCGTAAATATGTCATCTAGCGATCCGCCGACGTTACTACGATGGCTCGGCGGGCAGCTTCCGGGAAACCAAAGATTTTGGACTCCGGGGGGAGTATGGTTGCAAAGCTGAAACTTAAAGGAATTGACGGAAGGGCACCACCAGGAGTGGAGCCTGCGGCTTAATTTGACTCAACACGGGAAATCTCACCAGGCCCGGACACCGGAAGGATTGACAGATTAACAGCTCTTTCTTGATTCGGTGGGTGGTGGTGCATGGCCGTTCTTAGTTGGTGGAGCGATTTGTCTGGTTAATTCCGGTAACGAACGAGACTCTAGCCTGCTAAATAGGCGTCGTCATTTATGTGTGCGTGGCTTCGGTCGCGCAACTCACTGGCGACGTATTAAAATTCTTCTTAGAGGGACCGGCGGCTTCGAGCCGCACGAGATTGAGCAATAACAGGTCTGTGATGCCCTTAGATGTCCTGGGCCGCACGCGCGCTACACTGAAGGAATCAGCATGTTCTCCCTGGCCTAGAGGCCCGGGCAACCCGTTGAAACTCCTTCGTGCTGGGGATTGGGGTTTGCAATTATCCCCCATAAACGAGGAATTCCTAGTAAGCGCGAGTCATAAGCTCGCGTTGATTACGTCCCTGCCCTTTGTACACACCGCCCGTCGCTACTACCGATTGAATGATTTAGTGAGGTCTTCGGACCGACACGCGGTGGCTTCACGGCCGTCGGCGTTGTTGGGAAGTTGACCAAACTTGATCATTTAGAGGAAGTAAAAGTCGTAACAAGGTTTCCGTAGGGGAACCTGCGGAAGGATCATTAACGTATATATGATGTATTATAATGATACATTATATGTATATATAATCCAAATAACAATTAAAAAAATTGTTCCGATCTGTGGTCGTGTCGTCGTCACTACGCGTTCACCACTGCTTCTATCCGAACGTGTGTGTCACGTTCTCTAAACGCCCTATCGAGTTATATTATATAAAAATATAATAAGATACGACGCGTTGAGATTGTGACGCGCGCGCGAGGTATAAACAGTTTGTGTGTGCGTGCGGTGTGTGTGTGATGTGATCACTTTGAGGAACGAGCGCGAACCGGGACAAATAAAACGGAACGAGGACCTGGCAAGAATCCGCGCCACTAGTTCCGGTCCGATAATGGTACGCGCTATATTAAATGAATTAAACCCCGATGCGGTTTTAGAATACGAACGCGAAAGGCGGATCATTAAAAGAAGTCCGTAGTACCGTTCATTTCTAAACGTTAAAACGTTTCTCTAACGTTCACACTGCCCCCTCAATCTTTCGAGATTTCGGGGTGAGAGCGAGCGTAAGAGGACGCGTTAACACAATATTTTTTTATAATATATAACAACCAAAAAATATACCCGACGATACGGGACCGGGAGACCGGACCTGTAACTTTGGTGTGTAACATTTATTAGTTAACAACATATACAAACTATTACCCTGGACGGTGGATCACTTGGCTCGCGGGTCGATGAAGAACGCAGTTAACTGCGCGTCATAGTGTGAACTGCAGGACACATTTGAACATCGACATTTCGAACGCACATTGCGGTCCGTGGAGAAATATCCAGGACCACTCCTGTCTGAGGGCCGGCTGTTAAAAAACATTAACCACACTGTTCTTACGAACAATTGACGGTTCCGTTGAGAGACGCGATACGTGAGTGTGTTTGCGTTGCGTATTCTTTCGGTCCGTTTAAATATTATATAATAATTGTGTGTGTATCGCGACTGATTTTCAATATAAAATTAGTCTATCACATCGCACAAGACGCGTTAAGCGGCGAGCTGGCTTAGTCCCCTCGACGCGCGACTCTTCGACGTTAAAACTCGATAGAGGGCATGCGCGATATTCGTGCGGTGACTTCGTTCGGCACGTGTTGTGTGGTGTGCGATTGATTTGTTTTGAAAATATATGTTAGATACACGACATACACAACAACCAAAAGTAGGCGGACTCGACGTCCGAAGAGCGCCTCGACGACTGCGACGTCGTTTCGTTAACGGTGTCGTACTGTCGTCGTTGCGCTGACGGATATCGTGTCTGCCTCGATTTTTATCGTTGGCCTCAGATCAGGGAGGATCACCCGCCGAATTTAAGCATATTAGTAAGCGGAGGAAAAGAAACTAACAAGGATTTCCTTAGTAGCGGCGAGCGAACAGGAATGAGCCCAGCACTGAATCCCGCGATCGTCTCGAACGCGGGAGATGTGGTGTTCGGGAGGTTCCGCTTTCTCGTCGTCGATACTCCTGTCCAAGTTCGTCTTGAACGGGGCCGTTTTCCCGTAGAGGGTGCCAGGCCCGTAGCGACGGAGGGCGGCGGCGAGAGGGACTCTCCTAAGAGTCGGGTTGCTTGAGAGTGCAGCCCTAAGTGGGTGGTAAACTCCATCTAAGGCTAAATATTACCGCGAGACCGATAGCGAACAAGTACCGTGAGGGAAAGTTGAAAAGAACTTTGAAGAGAGAGTTCAAGAGTACGTGAAACCGTTCAGGGGTAAACCTGCGAAACTCGAATGAACGAACGGAGAGATTCATCGTCATTCCGCGGCGTACGCGCTCGCGCTCTGATGACGTTCGTGTCCCTTAATCGGGTCTTCGGGCGTCACGGGCCGGGTGTGTCGACGTCCGCGGACGTCGTGCACTTCTCTCTCAGTAATACATCGCGACCCGTTCGACGTCGGCCTAAGCGCCGTCCGGGAGCCCAGTCGACCCTTCAAAACGGACGGCTGGACCGTGACGGTGGCCGACCGGCCGTCGGACGGTAGAAGACACGAATCGCGCACGCGCACCTTATACAAAGCGCGTCCGGCCCGACGCAAGACAACGTCGTAATCGAGGTCCTGCCGTTGTGCGGACATCGGTGCGGCGCGTCTGTTGTCGCCGCCGTGCAGTCTCGGACCGTGCGCGTCTCAGTCGGCGATGATTCAGTTTCGGGCACTCGCAGGACCCGTCTTGAAACACGGACCAAGGAGTCTAGCATGTGTGCGAGTCATTGATTTACGTATAAACTGAAAGGCGCAACGAAAGTGAAGGCGTGCGCTTGTCGCGCGCTCAGGGAGGATGGAGCGTCGGTCTCGATCGACCTCTCGCACTCCCGAGGCGTCTCGTTTCCAATCCGTGAATGTAGGCGCGCTCTGAGCAGAGATGCTGGGACCCGAAAGATGGTGAACTATGCCTGGTCAGGTCGAAGTCAGGGGAAACCCTGATGGAGGACCGTAGCGATTCTGACGTGCAAATCGATCGTCGGAACTGGGTATAGGGGCGAAAGACTAATCGAACCATCTAGTAGCTGGTTCCGTCCGAAGTTTCCCTCAGGATAGCTGGCGTCGATGACGAACAGTCTCATCCGGTAAAGCGAATGATTAGAGGCATTGGGGCCGAAACGACCTCAACCTATTCTCAAACTTTAAATGGGTGAGAACTCCGGCTTACTCGAACGATGAAGCCGGAGATCTGATGACGGTGCCAAGTGGGCCAATTTTGGTAAGCAGAACTGGCGCTGTGGGATGAACCAAACGTAGTGTTAAGGCGCCTAAAAAACGCTCATGGGACACCATGAAAGGCGTTGGTCGCTCATGACAGCAGGACGGTGGCCATGGAAGTCGGAATCCGCTAAGGAGTGTGCAACGACTCACCTGCCGAAGCAACCAGCCCTGAAAATGGATGGCGCTGAAGCGTTTTGCCTATACACTACCGTTACGGGCAAGTGCGACGTGTTAACCACACATGTCGTCATTACGCCGTAACGAGTAGGACGTGCGCGGCGGAGAGCGCAGAAGGGTCTGGGCGTGAGCCCGCCTGGAGCCTCCGTCGGTGCAGATCTTGGTGGTAGTAGCAAATACTCCAGCGAGGCCCTGGAGGACTGACGTGGAGAAGGGTTTCGCGTGAACAGTAGTTGCTCGCGAGTCAGTCGATCCTAAGCTCAAGGAGAGATCTTATGTCGATGTGGCGTGTTTTTTCTTTCTAATTTTAATAATTTTAGATGATAAATAACGCCCTTTGAGCGAAAGGGAATCCGGTTCCTATTCCGGAACCCGGCAGCGGAACCGTTTCAATAATCGTTCCCTCGTTTCAAAGCGAGTGTTCGACGGGGTAACCCAAAGTGGCCTGAAGACGCCGCCGAGGGGTCCGGGAAGAGTTTTCTTTTCTGCCTGAGCGTTCGAGTTCCATGGAATCCTATAGAAGGGAGATATGGTTCGGAACGCGAAGAGCACCGCATTTGCGGCGGTGTCCGGATACTCTCTGCGGACCTTGAAAATTCAGGTGAGGGATGTACGTGGAGATGTCGCGCCGGTTCGTACCCATATCCGCAGCAGGTCTCCAAGGTGAAGAGCCTCTAGTCGATAGAATAATGTAGGTAAGGGAAGTCGGCAAATTGGATCCGTAACTTCGGAATAAGGATTGGCTCTGAGGACCGGGGCGTGTCGGGTTTGGACGGGAAGCGGATGCGGCCGGTGCCGGGCCTGGTCGATGCTCGTGCGTCTCTCGGGGCGTGCGGGCTGAATCCGGACCCGCGTTCCGGCCTTCCGCGGATCTTCCTAGCCGTAAGGTCGCGTCGGTTTCGTTTCGTGCGCGATCGGCGCGCGCCTGTACGACCGCCGTTCAACGGTCAGCTCAGAACTGGCACGGACAAGGGGAATCCGACTGTCTAATTAAAACAAAGCATTGCGATGGCCCTCGCGGGTGTTGACGCAATGTGATTTCTGCCCAGTGCTCTGAATGTCAACGTGAAGAAATTCAAGCAAGCGCGGGTAAACGGCGGGAGTAACTATGACTCTCTCTGAGGTGGATCCTTGGCGCCGTGGTGCGCGCGTTAAACGATAATACCGATCGCTGAGGTCCTGATAGCCTCTTAACGGGGCGCAGCGGGGTCGCCTGCTCGCGTCCCGGCCCTAACGGGAGGAGATAGTGTGTGCTCCTCTCTCAACGGAGCAAAGTGTGGTGGTTGGGAAACCGCCAGCCATTTTTCAGCCACTTCAATACACGATCTCTGTTGAGTTAGTAAATGGGGTTTGTGTGCCTGGGTGACCCTTTCCAGATACGCAGACTCAACTCCTACCCGAGGCCTGCACGTGGCACCGCCGCTTATAACTGACACGGGAGGGGGGGACGTGCCTAAATTAGTATGCCCCGGAGATGGCTGTTGCGGGGTGACCGCCTCGTTGGCACATTCCTAATTCTGCGAGGCCCAGCGCGTTTCCACTATAGTCTCCCGTTCGGCTGTCTCTTCGCGGCTTTCAGTCGTGTTGTTGGCAGTCGGACGGGAGACTTTAGTCAGGCTTGTGAACCGGGTTTGCTAGATTCGTCTAGTATGCGCAGCGTCCTAGATCATGGGGCGTAATCCGGGCTAGGTTCGGGTGAGATTCCTGAATAGTCCCATCGGGTGGCAATATGTCGCCAAGTCGAACCGCTGACTTCGGTCGGGACAAACGAGATGCGGTAGGCGAACCAGGTGGCTGGGCTTGCACCCCGGCCACATTGGGCACAAACACAAGCAATGGACAGAATAAGGATTGAAAATGATTTATTTTGCCACCCTGGCCTCCCACAGGAGCCGGGGAGCTTGGCCCAATCTTCGGCCGCTCAAGCTGGGGCTCCGGCCACAGTTTCCGCGGTCATTGACTGGACTTGTCCGGTGTGTGGACGTGCGTTCACCACCAAAACGGGGTTGGGGGTCCACAAGCGTAGGGCCCACCCCGAAGTAGCAAATGCGGAGGCCGCTCCAAATATGGTGAAGCGCAGGTGGCGCGATGAGGAGCTGGCATTGATGGCGCGTACAGAGGCGCGATTACTGGAGGAGACCGGACGATGTACGAACGCAGACCTGTACAAAAGCCTGTCGGGGTCCGAGCGGACCCTAGAGGCAATCAAAGGAAAGAGGCGCTGTGGGGAGTATAAAATCCTGGTACAAGCGTGCCGGGAAGAGTACAGATCCCCACCAATAAGCAGCCAAGCGCCAGAGAACAGGGGTTCGACACGGCCGGAATCTGAAAGTGTCGAGATGCCGGTCCAGCCTCTGCCAGCTGAAGACGCACCGCCTGTCGCCGATGATCCATCACCGCACTTAGGTGGTGCCCCAGATAACACGTGTGCAGACCAAATTGTCGCGGATCTTCTAGCGAGGGCCACGGTGAGGAGGTCGCGACACGGCCTGGGTTCCCGTAGTGCGAGGCGGCACCGCATACCGAACGTGACTCGGGCCGACACCGCACTGGCCGGTTTGTCGAGCCGCAAGAGGAGGAGAATAGAGTACGCCAGGGTACAGGAACTATTCCAGAAGTGTCGCAGTCGAGCAGCAGCCGAGGTGATCGATGGAGTGCATAGGAGCGTCCGGCACTCTCTCGAAGATTTGGAAGCCTATTGGCGACCGGTCCTAGAGAGGGTGTCTGATGCCTCAGGGCCTACACCGTCTGCTCTAAACGCCTTACGGCGGGAGGAGCAGTATGGGGGCGCACGCGATTACTCTCGGCTGTGGGTGCCTTTCACGACCGACGAAGTGAAGGCGTCCAAGTTTGACTGGCAGACAGCGCCTGGTCCAGACGGTATCCGTCCGGATGAGTGGCGCCTAGTTCCTGCGGCCCGAAAAGCGGAAATTTTCAACTCTTGGATGACCACTGGCGTAGTACCAGAGCCCCTGCGGCAATGCCGGACAGTCTTCGTGCCGAAGATGGATGATCCTGCTGGGCCGGGCGACTATCGACCGATTTCGATCGCCTCGATACCGCTTAGGCACATGCACTCGATCCTGGCGAGAAGGCTTCTGGATTGCTGCCCCCCCGATGCACGACAGCGTGGATTCGTCCGCGCCGACGGCACGTTGGAGAATTCCGCCGTGCTGGACGCGGTGCTAGGGGATAGCAGGAAAAAGTTAAGAGAGTGTCATGTGGCTATTCTCGATTTCGCGAAGGCGTTCGACACAGTGTCTCATAGAGCGCTGGTCGGGCTTCTTCGGGCTCGAGGGTTGCCCGTGGCATTCTGTGATTACATCCACCGGCTGTACGACGCGGCGACCACCAAGTTGGACGTCGGCGGACAGTCGGGTGAACCTGTTAGATTGGGCCGAGGTGTGCGTCAGGGAGACCCGTTGTCGCCCATCCTGTTCAACATGGCGATGGACGTAATTCTTGCTGCTCTAACGAAAGAGGTAGGCTATAGGCTGGAGATGGAGCGAGTCTCGGCTCTAGCCTATGCCGATGACCTAGTCCTGCTTGCAGGCTCAAAGGTAGGGATGCAGGAATCCATCGACCGTGTGTTCGAGGTTGCGTCGTCGATGGGCCTCTTGGTCAATCATACTAAGAGCTCCGTCTTGTCGATGGTGCCAGACGGGAAGCGCAAGAAGCACCACTATCTGACCGGGAAGAATTTCCGGATAGGTCGGAAGTGGCTGCCTCAAACCTCTTGCGTGGAACGTTGGCGCTATCTGGGCATCGACTTCCAGGCGTCTGGATGCGTGACGTTAGAGCATAATATCAAAGTTGCCTTGACCAACATCTCAAAGGCACCCCTCAAGCCGCAGCAGCGGCTCGAAATTGTGAGGGGACACCTTATTCCGAGATTTTTGCATGGCCTTGTGCTAGGTAATATCTCGGATGATAGGTTGTGTATGCTCGACGTCCAGATCCGGGGTGCGGTTAGGACTTGGCTGAGGCTCCCGAAGGACGTGCCTGTCGGGTACTTCCATGCCGACATCAAGGACGGCGGCCTAGCGATCCCATCGCTTCGGGCGACCGTCCCGGACCTCATACTTAAGAGGTTCGGGCGGCTCGACTCGTCGAGTTGGTCAGTGGCAAAGGCCGCCGCCAGATCCGAAAGGATCCGTAAGAAGTTGAGCTGGGCCGACAAGCAATTCCGAAAGTTCACCAGAGAGGATCCGGTCACGGGCCTTAGGTCCGTCTCACGGTTTTGGCGCGAGAGACTGTGGAGCTCAGTGGACGGGTTCGAGTTACGCGAATCCGCCCGCACTCCCGCGTCCACGAAGTGGATTCGGGAGGAGTCTTCACATGTCTCTGGTCGGGACTTCGTGCAGTTCGTCCACACGCACATCAATGCCCTCCCGTCACGGGTTCGGACATCCAGAGGGCGCAGGATTGGTCGTGAGGCGGAGTTGAACTGCCGCGCCGGGTGCGTGGTTAGGGAAACGACGGCTCACACCATCCAGCAGTGTTGGCGGACGCACGGGGGCCGGATATTGCGCCACGATCGTGTTGTGAAGCTAGTAGCAGACGCGATGGCTTCAGACCAATGGTCGGTGGTGACGGAGCCACATGTCAAGACCTCGAAAGGCCTTCGGAAGCCCGACATAGTAGCCGCTAAAGGGGGCGTCGGAGTGATCGTGGACGTGCAGGTGGTCTCGGGCCAGCGGCCTCTCGATGATGCTCACCGTGAGAAACGTAGTAAATACGGGACTCACGAGGAGCTAGTCGAGAAGGTTGCAGGTATACTAGGACTACCTAGCAAGGATTGTGTCCGCGCGACCTCTTGTACGATCTCCTGGCGAGGTGTTTGGAGTCACTCCTCCTATAAGGAGTTGAAGAGACTCCTTGGGCTGAAAGAGAGTCTGTTCCGAGCTATACCGGTGGTGGTATTGCGCGGTTCGCACATGAATTGGACAAGGTTCAGTCAGATGACCGGGATTGGGGCGGGAGACCCAGTGTGAGCGCCCGGAGTCCTGTGGGACTTCTGGGCTGCTGCCGAGCCCTGGGGTGGTCGCGGCCATGTGCCTAGTTGCAAAATACCAATTTCCCCTAACATCCAGCGGCCATCAGTGCAACAGCAATCGGCACAATGCTGATCTGCCAAGCCCCTGTGGACGGGAGATTGGGGACTAAGTGGCGTCTCTCGTGGCATCCATAATGATTAGTGATTACGTTCACTAAGACGATGGTATGATGATCGGCGGAAATAGCCAAATGCCTCGTCATCTAATTAGTGACGCGCATGAATGGATTAACGAGATTCCCACTGTCCCTATCTACTATCTAGCGAAACCACAGCCAAGGGAACGGGCTTGGGAGAATCAGCGGGGAAAGAAGACCCTGTTGAGCTTGACTCTAGTCTGGCATTGTAAGGAGACATGAGAGGTGTAGCATAAGTGGGAGATCGTTCGCGCGGTCGTCGCTGAAAAACCACTACTTTCATTGTTTCATTACTTACTCGGTTGGGCGGAAGCGGTGCGCGGTCGATTTTATCGGCGGGCGCACGGTGTTTCGTTCCAAGCGTGCAGAGTGGCGGCGTGGCGGCAACGCCCGTCGCCGTACAACTCCCGCGTGATCCGGTTCGAGGACACTGCCAGGCGGGGAGTTTGACTGGGGCGGTACATCTGTCA